GTAAGTCACGACCTGGTGTGGTTCACTAACCTGTCACTGAGAATCATAGACCGAGTTATTTCATTCCGAGCTTTGGGTTCTGCCTCGCCCTGCGTGTGAATACGTATATGGGGGATGTACAATGAACGAAAATCCATGGCAGGAAGGCTCCTACGGGGGTTTGGGATATCTGGATCATTTCATACATTGCGTTGAAGTCTCCCGTTGAGCTGATGATGAATATGGGTTCCTGACAATTCATCGTCCGTTGCATCTTGAGGGGGAGAAATAGGCCACGTGAGTTTGGTCGAGTGTTTTTTCTCACGTTGTTACGATAGTATATATATCTGAAGAATGCATGATGAATAATGAATTACAAGCATCACTCTTATGATAATAGCATGAATGTCAATCAGGTGAAATCTGCGTTTCTTGATTGGCGAAGGAATCAATCAGAATAACATAACAGCTTTATTAGAAATTATAATGCTAATCATAAGGTCAGTATCAGCATCGCTCTAGTTATTCATTGATTGTTTAATACCGTTATTAAGATCATTCCCACGTCTGTTACTGTGGCGGTTTTAATAACTCTTTACATCACAGTTGTTATATTTGTAGTTTTTCGTAACAACGAGAAATACAATTTTACATCAAATAATATTAAACAGAAATAACCTTTTATTGTATCAAAAAAGCCATTTACCAGGCAGTTGTAGATAATTGAAAACCGCATTGAACACTAGAGAGTGAAATCGACTCCAGACTGAAATAATGTTGGACAGAAATAAACGATCTTGTTCACTCTTAATGTTATGGAACTGAATGGATATTGGAACTTACAGCGTTATGATGGCATTGAGGGTGTGGTTCATACAGAAGGGGAGAGGGGGGGGGTCTGGGAAGGAGAGAGGGGAGGAGGGGAGGAGGAGAAGGACGATGAGGGAAGGGAGAGAAGGGGTGAGGGGGAGAAGGATAGGGGGGAGGGAGGAGGGGAGTAGAAGGAGAAGGACGAGTGGGGATGGGAGGAGAGGAAGAGTAGAGGTGAAGGAGGGGAGGACGACAGAGAAAAATTAGGAGGAAGGAAGAAGGGAGATGGAATATGGAGAGAAGGAAGAGGAAAGGGAGAAGAAGAGGAAGAGGAAGGAAGGAAGATGAAGAGGACGAGAATGAAAGGGAGAAGAGGGGAAGTAGGAAAGGGAGAGGAAGAACGGGGGAAGGGGGGGGGGCGATAGGGCCATGAACACAACGACCTAGTTCACGTTCGCTGGAAACCTCACGATGAACGTTCCTCATGATGAACGCGCGTCATTGTTTCACTCACTTCCTCCCCGCGAACGCCGCCTGCATCTAGATGAGTCTAATTCGCCGCTAATCGCATTCCTCGCCGCCTTGTTTGCTTGCTTGCTTGCTTGCTTGCGCTCGTCTGGCCGCGTCCGGGCGGAGGCTTCCTCGCCCTTCGCTGCCGCCGCTCCTTCCTTCCTGCTCCGAGGGCCGGGGTTCCTTTCTTCCTGTTTTCAGTCCCGTTCTCTGCCTGGAGGGATGCAGGACTGTGGGGAAGAGGAGGGAGAGGGAGGGAGGGAGAGAGAAGGGAGGGAGGGAGGGAGGGAGGGGAGAGAGAGAGAGAGAGAGAGAGAGAGAGAGAGAGAGAGAGAGAGAGAGAGAGAGAGAGAGAGAGAGAGAGAGAGAGAGAGTAAGAGGGAGGGAGAAAATAGTAAGAGAGAGAGAGAGAGCAGGAGGTATGTGGGATGGAAAATGAATGAGAGACGGAACGGCAGAAAGAACGGAGGAAAAGAGGAAGAGACGTAGGGAGAAAGAGAAAGAACGAGAAATCCAAAAAAGAAATAGAAGGGAAGGGAAAATTAGACCCTAAATCCGCGAGAAATAGATGAAAAAAGAAAGGGAAATATAAGCCCTCACATCTGTTCCCAACCTGCGCGGAAAGGTGCCTCCCCACGCCGCCCGAATCTCCGACAATGGGTGAGAGTCGAGCCTTGACACTAGTAACAAGATCGGGTGTTGCAACAGCGGAACACGACGTCAGCCGCGAGTTCCCGAAACTGGTGACGTCACAGGCTGCAGCACCTGTTGGGAAGTCTTCGCCGCGGGCCTCGGGAGGTGCTCGGGATGGCACTTTTTTGCTGCTCATTTATTTATTTTCTGCTTTTTGGGCCCGGAGGAATCGAGGGATTTTCTCGGAAAAATAATTTCGATGAGGAAATCTCTTTACTTTTTTTTCTTTCATTTTTTTTTTTGGGGGGGGGGTCAATTTTTTTCTTCTTTTTTTGGAGGATGTATATAAAGATTGGGAAAGAAAAAAAGAAACGCACCACAAAAAAATCTTTGACTTCAAACAAGCAAACGAAAAACGTAAACAGACCATCACGATGTCGATCTTACAAACGATACGAAACGGTACACAACATTCTGATACGAAAAGCCACTCACTATCTATTGTCTATTAGAAATAATTTCACCCCTGACTGCACCAAGACACAATTAAGTCAGCCTTAATGAGTTTATTGTCTTCATATAAAGCCCAGGTACTCTACTCGGGCCGGGCGAAGCACACAGGGATTAAGGCTTCTTCGTTCAGTTATATGACAGACATAAATCACAGCGAATTTCTATGAAAGAGTGAAAGTCGCAACGGCAAGCACAGCAGGCTACACGCACGCACGCACAGACACACATATGCACAGAGGTAAATAAAGGCTATCACTGCTTTATTACTGTAATTTTAACTGCTACTATAACGGTTAATGATATAGATAACAGTGAAAATGATGTGATAATTATGATAATGGTACGAAAATGTCAATCAATAAGAATTGTAATGCCGATAACAGTTGTAGACATGAAGAATTCCTTAGCGTCTGCCACGGGAGGCGATCCCTCGAGCGCCACGCAGCCCCGGCGACGACGCCCTTCAAGGAGCAACCACAAGAAGCCAAGGACTGACCCACGTCGACCTCTTCCTCCTCCTCCTCCCCCCTTTCTCCCTCCTCGCTTCTCTCTCCCCTCGCCTGTATTTCCTCACCCTCCTCCTTTTCCTATTCCCGTCTCTTCCTCTTACTCTCCCTCTCTCTTTCTTTTTCCATTTTCCTTCCCCTCTTCCCATTTTCCCGTTTTCCCCTCCCCTGCCTTGACTCCACCTCTCCTATGTTGTTCTCTCTCCCTCCTACGTCTCTCCATTTCCTCCCTTGCTCTCCCTCTTACGTTTCTCCCTTCCCTCCTGTTCCCTTCCCCTTCCCCTTTCCCTTCCCTTCCCTTCCCTTCCTCTACTACCTTTCCCCTTCTCTGACTCCCCCGCTCCCCTACATGCCCCCTTCCCCCATTCGCCATTTGGCAAAGTTGCCGGTGCCTTCATGGCAAGGGAAATGGGGAGCAAAGAAGTATACCAAAGAATGGCCGTTAAAAGGAAAGGTTTAAAGAAAAAGGGGAAAACGTAACAAAAAGTGGCCATTAATTTGGACTATTAGGTTGCCTCCGTAACCGATGATAATGAGCAATTCATTGAAAGATAAATAAATGAAAACAAATCCATATGTGACGACTACCATGCAAGGCTGGTGATGACCTGGTGTCGCCGAGGGAGGGACGAGGGAGGGACGAAGGAGGCGAGGGAGGGACGAGGGGGACGAGGGAGGGACGAGGAGGCCGAGGGAGGGACGAGGGATGGACGAGGGAGGCCCGAGGGAGGACGAGGGAGGCCGAGGGAGGGACGAGGGAGGCCGAGGCCGAGGGAGGGACGAGGGAGGCCGAGGGAGGGACGAGGGAGGCCGAGGGAGGGACGAGGAGGGACGAGATCGCTGCCTCTGCCGCTTCCTTCTTGCAACAAATTTTGATTCGTTCTCACCTGGCTTGGTTTATGGCACAACTTTCTCTTTCTCTCTCGTTTCTTCTTCGTGTATTATATATATAGCTCTCTGTCTATGTTTTTCTTTCTGTTTCTCTCTGATTCTTACTCTGTTTCTTACTCTCTCTTCTTCGCCTACCCCTTCTCTCTCTGACTGTCTGTCCCTTTATCTACGTATCTATGTATATCATCTATCTATCTATATAACTATCTAATGAATATCTATCTCCTCCTCACCACCTCTCTCTCTCTCTCTCTCTCTCTCTCTCTCTCTCTCTCTCTCTCTCTCTCTCTCTCTCTCTCTCTCTCTCTCTCTCTCTCTCTCTCTCTCTCTCTCTCTCTCTCTCTCTCTCTCTCTCTTCTCTACTCTCTCTCTCTCTCCTCTCCTCTCCTCTCTCTCTCCTCTCCTCTCCTCTCTCTCTCCTCTCCTCTCCTCTCCTCTCCTCTCCTCTCTCTTTCCCTTCTCCTCTCTCTCTCGCCGTCTTTAAAGGCCGTAGGAGCGTGTGCTGGAAATAATAAGGTGTTTGTGATGTAAGACGAATTTTTGAAAACCTCGATCGGGAAAGATTACGATGCCAGCTGATTTATTGTCAGGTCGTTGAGAGGCTTATTATTATTGGCTTTTCTCCTCTTCTTCGGCTCTCTGCGTAACGGGGGAGGGTGTAAATACGAAGTAAATGTGTGTGCCTTCACGTGTAGGTATATATTTTGATAGGTGCATAGATAGATAGGTTTATAGATGAATAGCTAGATGTATAGGTAGGTTGATAGATAGATAATCATTAGCTTTATGTCCCTCCCCATCTCTGTCATTACCATTATCACAATGTCTCTAATACGACTATTATGGGGTTTCTTGTCATTAATTCTGTTATGAGGACAAAGAGTTATTAGTGGTACTCTCATATATCCGTTAGATAAGAGGTTAGTCAAATTTCGCTTATCCAAAAAAAAAAAAAAAAAATCTGCACATCTCATCGACTATGTTGTATATAACCGGCCATCTTCTTTCCTATAAAGTATAATCAAAATTGTTTATTTCGCTTGCCTTCCTAAATGTCTCAACCAGTAAATATAGGCATTATCTATTTAGTTTTTTTCCGCCTATAACTTCTCCAAAACAAGTTAAAATGTCCCCCTTTTTCTTCATTTTCCCCTAGAA